CGTGCCAAACCCTAGCTTCGGACAAGAAGTTTCTCGGGCAAACCCCGGGCTATGCGACTACTACTACTACTACTACTACTACTACTACTACTACTACTACTACTACTACTACTACTATTCTACTACTACTACTACTACTACTACTACTACTACTACTACTTGTGCTGCTGCTGCTGCTGCTCCTAGATCCGAGAACAGCCAAAATCAGTTATCTGAAACGCGCAAGGGCCCGCACGCCAGGGCTTCAAGGTTGGAGCAGACTCAAGTCAAGGGGCCACGCGTAAGGGACCGCTGGCTCCGCGGAAGCTGCGCGCACCGTGAACTCGCAAGGGTTTGTTATATACTCGTAGCGTCAAAGGATTGAAAGGAGGGTTTGACCCCGCTAACCAGTCGGTCCTAGCAGTCGTCGTCGTCGTCGTCCTCGGTGTTGTCTATACTGTACACTATGATTGGTGTGTGCAGGCAACTATGGCCGCTACCGGAAGAACCGGGACGAGCGGATAGCTACCCGCAGTGCCAAGAGTCAGATCCTGGGCCGCATGAGGGTAGCGCTCAGGATTCGGTGAATCACTTCGAGACAAGAGCATGGGGCTTGGTTGTAAAGGAGCTTGTCCAAACCCCGCTTCAGGTCTCGTGCCATGCACTTTCAACACCATATGCTGCGGTCTTTCTGCCCTCGACTTGGTCTATAATCAGCAGGAAGCCAGAGGATCGGCATGATTTCCCCTTCCTCTGGTCCTAGCAATTAATGTTGAGCACATCCTGGACGGCCATTGCCACCGCTAACCATAAAGTTTGCTGCGTGGAGGGGAAAACCGCTACCTACAATAAAGCGCAGCCTGCAGTACATGTAGAATGCATGCATGTGCATATGTCTTTGATACCGGTCTGCGTGTGTATATACGCATACATGCATGCATGCATGCATACATACATACATACATGTATATGCGTGACGTTATATTTATACTATATACAGTATGCACGCGTATACAGATATGTGTATGTGTGTATCTCAATATCTCTATTTCTGTAACTCTTTCGCTGTGTATGTATGTATGTTTGTATGTTTGTTTGTTTGCATGCATGCATGCGGAGAGGCCCACTCGTCAGCACAGATGACTTCCCTTCTGGGGCGGTTGCAATTGATAGCCAAAGAAGGCCGGCACTCGAGTTCATAGGATCAGGGTCTTGGCCAGGCTAGTGCGCCAGCCGAGCTCTCCACGTCAGAGCCCAAACAGCCATACCAGCTTGGTTCTCGAACAGGCACAGCGAAACGGTGGTCGATTGGTTCGCTTCCGATGTCAAGGAGAGATGCTGTGGCAAGCCGTGGAGCTCGTGGGCTCCCTTGTGCTGTTCATGCCGGCGCTAGCGGGCATAGCGGCCCCTTATACACACTGGACAGCCTGTATCGCTTGCAGACAGAGAATGAAGGGATGGCTTTCTCTGCCACCAGCAGATCCGCTGAAGTGGCCGTGTTCGGGGCTTACGGTCGCACTGTCTGCCCAGATACTCCAAAGCAGTGCGCCGGTGGCTGTGTGCTCTAGGATTTTGGGACCGTGCGAAGAGGTTTTTATTTGGCCAAATCGCTCCGCATGGAAGGCAGAAGAAGATCTAGATAGATCTTCCTGGGTGACCTCCGAGTACAGCACGGAGCACAGAGCCGTGTGAAGCGAAGTGCCTGATCATTGGTCTCGTTAAGGACCTTGAGTGGCAGCACCGAGCGCCGACACTCAGGAGCAGTCTCTGAGACGGACGACAGAGAAACCAGCAGAAACCCGTTACGTTGCGGTTGCGGAGCTTCGGTCTCGCACCGGATACAGCATTGAATCTGACCGACCTTGGCATCCGGGTCTGATGCATGTGGATCATGGAGTCAAGGAATCACGGGTCAGAAAAAGATGACGTGCCAACAGTCCGAGGCAACCTGCACTCATACAGGCATGCATACTGTGTACAGGTGGCAGTATCAGAGTTTCGAACTGCATTGGCATCGTTCAAACAACAATCAACACCCCTTGCACCTGACCGAGCGTCCACCATCTACTATCTACAGCTCCCCAAGACTTTTCCCGTGCTTCGGTGTTTTCAGGACCGATCCGTTTTCGGTGCTTTTCGCGCATCTCTCCAGGCGAGTGCCCGAGGACATCTGGTGTGGTGTGTGTGTGTGTGTATGTGTGCGCGTGTGTGCGTGTGTGTGTGTGTGCGCGCGCGTGTGTGTCTCTGTCTCTGTCTGTGTGTGTGTGTGTGTGTTTGACTCAAGTTTGACCTTAGGCAGACTTGGCGTTTGGTTTCAGCAGTATGTTGATTGTCGGTGCCAAAAACTAGGCCGCCGGGGGGTTTTAAACTTGACTGCAGGACTCCGGATCCCGGAGAGCAATGCCCCTGTCAGGAGTATTTGAAATCACTCTTCGAAGAAGTGGGGCGAGTCACGCACTTCGAGCTCTGGAAAGGTGTCTTGGCAGCCGGAGCTGAAAACGACTCGGTTGGGAATCGGACACGTCGTGTTCCATCTGTACATGCGATGCGATGTGCAGTGTGCAGCAACTCTGCAGCAACTCTGCGAGTCTAGCAGAGGCTGGAAGGATAAAGGGGCAAGCAGTGGGCCAAGCAGTGTGTTAAACGGCCGAACGTCAGCAAAGGCCCCGCCTCAGTTCTTTGAAGCTTCTTGTCCTGCGTTCGAGATGGTGAAGCATTGAGGCAATCTGTGAATCTTCAAATCAAGGCTCTTCCAAACCATGTCTTTGACCTTGTCCAAACAAAGCTCTCGCCCCCTTAGCTCCGGAACCCTTAAAGTTTCTTTCCTCCTCCAAGTTCCGAGGACCTGATGGCCAGTCCCTGGGCCGAGGTGCACGGAGCCTTTCATGTTGTCTTGCTTTGTATATACACATACATTAATATATGGAATAATAGTGCCCATACATATATACACATATGTCCAGGCATCATTCGTCGGAAGTGGTTGGCATTGATGATTGGCCTGACTTTGACATCTGTCTCCAAATGTCAGGTTTCTAGACTTCAAGAGTAGAGCCAGTGGAGTGAAAGAACAACCTGGTGCAGGAAAGGTGACATACACATCCACTGCTGATGCCAATATGGCTGTGAAGCAGCTCAGTGGGTGGCCTCTTGTCGCATCGTGCGTTAAGCCATAGTTTTCCTGGTCGATGAGCCCTACCTTGTCTTTCGTTGCGGCATAGCCCTTGAGAGTTGAAACTCCGATGTTTTTCAAACCGAACAGCTTTGACATATAGGCATCTTTCAGCCCTTGTTTCCTGATCCACTTGCTAAGCGAGGTATGTACATGGGCGCACCATGCGGGTCTGCCTCTTCCGGCCGCCAAGTGAAGAGCGTGGGGCCGATCCGGGCAAGAAGGACCGATCATTAACAACGGGAACAAAGAAGGCGCCGGCCCGAACATTATAGTCAGAGCTAGAATACAGTACAGACACCTCGTTCTGCGTCTTGTTGGGATTCGAGGGTTGCGTATGTGCCGGGTATGTCAAGCTTGCAAGGCAGCGGTCTACATCAGCCTGGGTAAGGACCGACATGAGCACAGGACAGCTTCTGTTTTGTCTGCTTCTGAAGGACCCTGGCAAGTTTCCAGAGAAGCCCTGCTGCCGACTCAATTGTGCTTTGGGGGCTTCCACAGTTTGCAACCAAGCTCTGTGCCGAATCCAAGAGGCCACGTCTTGCCCACTGAAGGTCGCGACTTCTATGCCAGTCATGTGCGCCTGAGACTTGGAGCGTGTCCCAAGGTTCAGTCATCTTCAGCAACTGCAATGCCGTCAGCACAGAAGGCCCGCCGAATCCAGAACGTGGGATGTGTGTTCCCGGTCTCCGGAGGTCAGGCTCAAATCTCATAGTCATATCTCATAGTCATAATTTTAGTGAGAGACTGAAGAAGATCAGCAAAAAAAGGTTTAAAATCAGGGAGAGCTGACAACTCTTCTCCCGTGGCTGTTCCAGGTTTTTTGCGCTGGCTGCTGTCAAAGGCACGGCATCATCAAATCATCAGTTAAAAGCGCCCTAGCCAGGAAGAGAGATCAAGGCTCGAAGCTTAGTGCCGGGCCCGCGGTTCGCAAGCCTTGCTCTGGAGACACACAACCACGGCTCCCCTAAAGTCGAGCCAATCTGCATCCCAGCGTAAGAACCGTGCTACTTGTATTACAGTTTTACCGTGTCCTAAGCCTAGTCCTAGTCCTACTCCTGAGCCATAAGGCTACTGCGACTGCGACCATTGCTACGACTCCCCTAGTGCGACAACGACCAGCACAACCGGTACTGCTGCTACAGCGGCGGCGACGGCCACGGCTGCGAATCCTCCTCCTCCTCCTCCTCCTCCTGCTACCACTACACCACTACGACTACTGCGACTGCCACTGCCACTGCCACTGATCACTGCCACTGCCACTGCCACTTATTATTACGACGACGACGACTACTACTACTCTTGCTGCTACTACTACTACTACTACTACTACTATTGCTACTGCTACTACTGGCACTACTGCTGGCACTACTGCTGGTACTACTACTACTACTACTACTACTACTCCTGCTGCTGCTGCTGCTGCTACTACTACTACTACTACTGCCACTGCTGCGACTACCACTACCACTACCACTACCACTAATGCGACTACCACTACCAGTACCACTACTGCGACTACCACTACCAGTACCACTACCACTACCACTACCACTACCACTACCACTACCACTACCACTACCACTACCACTACCACTTATGCGACTACCACTACCACTACCACTACTGCGACTACCACTACCACTACCACTACCACTACCACTACCACTACCACTACCACTACCACTACCCTACCACTACCACTACGACTACGACTACGACTACGACTACGACTACGACTACGACTACTACTACTA